AAAGAGTTCTGAGTTAATACATCTCCACAGCAGAGACGAACACTTGGAGTGTTGGGTTACTAAACGGAATTGGGTTACTAAACGGAATTGCGTTACTAAACGGAATTGGGTTACTAAACGGAATTAACTGAAACTGGGATAACCAGTAAAGGATGACACGTGGAAACTAAATAAAGTGTTCGGTTCCAAATTTGAACGCATGTTACGTGAAGAAGGCGAAAGCGTACAATGGTCGAAACGTCGTGAATATGAGAATAAATATGAGGACGATAGTGCGCACAATGTAAGTTGAGTATATATATATATATATATATATATATATATAAATGACAATAAAAAACTAGTAATTGCTGACGCGTTTCGTCCAATGTGGACTTTATCAAAGTAAAATACGAAATGAATTTAATGGGACAAGGTAACTAATAAAAACAAAAACAGAATGTTCCTAGCAACTGGAATGTAGAGAAATGCTATTTCCATAGTGTTAATTGAAAATAACTAGTTTTCCTATTGTCATTTTTATTGATAAATATTGTCTTCTCTACTGGTTAAATCGGAGAAATTTTCACATATACATGTGTGTGTGTGTGTGTGTGTGTGTGTGTGTGTGTGTGTGTATACAAATCATATCTCATTTTAAGACGTTTCCCAAAGCTTTTTGAGAGCATTATATATATATGTATATATATATTATAATTATTCAAAAAAAATATGATTCCATTGCTACACAGGAATTACCATGTGTCAAAAGCAGAAGCTAAAAACTTCCAATTCAATTACAGAAATTAAATTAAAGTAAATAGTTCTGTTTAATTTTCATGCAAATATCTATCCACACACACACACACACACACACACACACACACACACACATATATATATATATATATAGAGAGAGAGAGAGATAGATAGATAGTTAGATATATATGCATATATACTGATATATATGTATTCATAAATATACATATATGTATATGTATTGATACATATAAATTCATATATATATATATATATATATATATATATATATATTGATACATACATATATAAATACATATCTATTCATATATATATATATATATATATATGATATTGATATATATATGCATATTCTATTAATTTTTTCTGTTTGCTATGCATATTTAGTAATTATATACAAATATATAGATATATACTCATATGTATATGCGTATATATATATATATATATATATATATATATATATATATTTGTGTATAAATATGCATATATATATATTATAATTATTTTTTAAAACATGATTCCATCGCTACATAGGAATTGCTATGTTTCAAAAGCAGAAGCTAAAAACTTCCATTTCAATTATAGAAATAAATAAAAAAGTACCTAGTTCTGTTTCATATACAAGCGAATTTTGAAATCCAAAACTTGAATGATATTGTCATGGCAATTGCCCACTGAGGATGATTTTGCAGAAGATCGAAAGTAGTTGGGTAGGAGAAAACTGCTGTGCCTTTCTTGATGAATTTCATGGTAACATCAAGAAAATAATTGAACAACTGGAAAGGGTCAGCATGAAAATTAAATATACATTATATCTATATTATTCAATGAAATACAAACACACAGACACAAACATATATATATAATTATAATATATATATATATATATAATAATATTATAATAATTTATATAATAAATTATAATTATAAATTAGGCTATACTTATCTATTGAGCATTGTTTTTTTATTAAATAAAAACAAAAATACTAAAGAACTTCGGATATTAACCTAACGTGTTCTTTCCTATTTTTCTATATATTTGCACGCTCACACACACACACACACACACACACACACATATATATATATATATATATATATATATATATATATATATATATATATATATATAAAGTCTCTCATGGATGACATAAATGAATGGACAGGGAAGGAAAAAATTTTTTTATACCAACCAAGCTGCTAGAAGCGCAGAACAGCAAGTCCAAGCAAACAATCTCTTTGCAAAGAGAAGGCTGCCTGGACCTGATGTAAAGCGATTCCAACACCTTAAGATGGAAAAGTGAGTGCGAACTGGCCAAAACGGAAAACCAGTTCACACTGAAATCCATCACACAAGTTGGATTCTTTATAAAATGATCCGCAATCGAAGACCCATACGTATTACGAATGGTATCGCCCAAAGAAAATTTTTTATTCAGTATTATAGAAGGTACGTGTTTAATTCTAACGTCCAACCGCTGTGTCGTTCTACCTATGTAGTCGCATCCACAACTACATTTGAAATAGTAAATAACAGAGTTAATATGGTGGTCGGGGAGGGAGAACATCTTTACACATAGATGAAAGTACGGACTTAGTTTGAAAGACAACACGAACGTTCGCTGCAAAATAACACTCTTTTTTCTTTTCCTCATAATCCTTCCCCGTTAACAGTTCTGACGAGAGGGGACGAAACCGGTCGACTGTTGTGTGTTTTATTTTAAACTTATCATGGCCTACAATACAACATTTCTAGTTTTTAATTCCTTAATATATATATATATATATATATATATATATATATATATATATATATATACTTTAAATATTAGGAGATTAGTTGATGGCGCTTACCTTGGATTCAACCTTACGTTACTGAGAACTTTTTTATACTATTGTCTCCTGGTCCAATTCCACTTTGACTATGAAAATTACCGTTAATATATTAGTAACTATTAGTAACATAATAATAAATAATATCACAGTTATTATCACTATCAGCCAATCGTCAATAATACCCAAGCAGTCAGCGTTGAAAATACAAACATCATCATCATCGGCATGCCCACCATCAGAACCCAGCTTAACTAAACTGGTGGTGAAAGACCCAGGCCAATAGGAGTGTATGTGCGCGTCTACAGGTGTGTATGTGTGTGTGAGGAAGTGCAAGCGACAGGCGGTAGATCTGAAAAGCGGCAAGAACATCCTTACCCGATCCTTGGTGAAAGGATCATCGCTACATATAATAAAAGCTAAGGTCTCGATACCGAAATAGAATTGCAACTGCGTATGCATGTATGCCCGAACACATGGATGTCTATATGCGTCTAGCCTCGGATTGTTTATATGGATGCGTTTGTGTGAACTAAAATTCGTACACCTGTATGTATGTGTGTCTATGTATCAGAGATTGTCACCCCAAACAAACTCAGAAGTAAATTCCCCTTGCAACCACCAAACATAATCAAACAAGCATAAGTTGATACAAATTTTAAAAAACAAACGTTAAGCATAAAAATGTCTTTAATAAATAAATTGTCGGACTTTGTCCATTTCTTAATATATGACGTCATTTGTTTACATTTGATACGCCAGAGCAGTTATGAATGTACGAGATTCATGGAAGATTGAAGTTTATAAGCAGTAAATTCGACCTTGCCTACCGAACGCTTCTTTGTGGCCGAGACGGTAAGGCACGTCAGCGTAAATGACAGTTCCGTATAGGATGCAGGTTCGAATCCTGTCAAAGGACGAATATTTTCTATGAAAATTTCTCGGACATTCAGGCCGGTAAATGTTATTTAATACTGTTTATTATAAACAGAGCATTTACTTAAATAATTGTATCTATAAAAAAGAACAAAAAAACACAAAAATAATAACCTCATCCACTTGTAAAAAAGATTAAAAATAATGGAAGCCCTAATAATAAAAAAAGAAAAAAGCCAACTCTTAACAATATTAACTACGAACACAGCCACAATGTGTTGACCGTGTTCGGAAAATAAAACAGCTTTATGACACACTAAAAGCATACACATAAAAAAACTCACTCGTTTAAACTGAAAAATAAAAATCATCCTTGATAATGGCTAAAAGTATAGCCGAAAGCGCTCGGAACTATAGAACATTTCGACAGTTTTTTATTTCTTTTTAAGTAAAGTTACCAAAAATATCTATTTATAGTACAATTACCAACAATACATTTTTATACTGAAATTACTAAGACTGCATTTTCATAATAAAATTACAAACAATACATCATTATAGTAAAATTACTGAACAATACATTGTTATAGTAGAATCATATACAATGCATATTTATTGTAAAATTATCATCACTATATTTTATCTGTAGTTGAAATGCATTCAAATTATATTTGATTAAAGCCATAAAATTGCGTTCAAAATATTTAGATTTCGGCATTAAATAACTCATAGAGGTTGATATGCCGCTAAACAAAATCAACCAACCAAGCTAATCAAAATATTTAGATTTCGGCATTAAATAACCCATAGAGGTTGATATGCCGATAAACAAAATCAGCCAAGCAAGCAAATCAAAATATTTAGATTTCGGCATTAAATAACCCATAGAAGTGTTGATATGCCGCTAAACAAAACCAACCAAGCCAATGAAAATATTTAGATTTCGGTATTAAATAACCCATAGAGGTGTTGATATGCCGCTAAACAAAATCAGCCAATCAAGCCAATCAAAATATTTAGATTTTGGCATTAAATAACCCATAGAAGTGTTCATATGCCGCTAAACAAAATCAACCAACCAAGCCAATCAAAATATTTAGATTTTGGCATTAAATAACCCATAGAGATGTTGATATGCCGCTAAACAAAATCAACCAACCAAACCAATCAAAATATTTAGATTTCGGCATTAAATAACACATAGAGATGTTGATGTGCCACTAAACAAAATCAACCAACCAAACCAATCAAAATATATAGATTTCGGCATTAAATAACCCATAGAGATGTTGATGTGCCGCTAAACAAAATCAACCAACCAAGCCAATCAAAATATTTAGATTTCGGCATTAAATAACCCATAGAGATGTTGATGTGCCACGAAACAAAATCAACCAACCAAACCGCTTTCGTCTTACTTTTACCAACGTCTGTATCTTGCTTTACTTCCATACTTCTATAGACCTCGTGATTTTCACAACAAATCTCACTTACAAATGCAACCTTTCTACCGCCCCCCACCCATGTTGCTATTCTGAGTAACGGCAAGTGGTTTTTGTTTGTGCTGAATACCAGTCGGCCTGGTGTGTCCGCGCCGATATGCTTACAACACGATTGTCAATTGAATGGCGCTGTGGGTTTAAGGTGATGAGATAACCTACCGCGAGGAAGAATGAGAAAGACGTGCTTAAGAGGCCGCCAGGAAACTAATGAAAGCACAGAAACAGGGAAGATATGGCCGAGCCAATTCTGCCTTGGAGCGCGTGTACCGAAGACAGACCGCCCTCAAGGAAAGTGGATCTATCGCGGACAGAGCTTGAGTTTCTCCCTCAAGTATTCTGTCATTCTTGTACTTAAATGTCTCGTAAAAAAATATATTGTCGAGCGAAATAAAAAGAAATTGAATGAAACACCAACAAAAAAAAAAAGGCGAAAATATTAAAGGTACATTTATTTAATCGCAAATATATATGTCTTTTTTTTTGTTTCTTTTCAAAATGACTTTTATTTTTGCTGGCTAAATTTCTAAAATAATTTTGTTGGCACAGATTTTACGGAAGAGCAGATTTTGAAATTAAGCATATCGTTCAAAGTTTTAGCTAAATTTACTGGGTAGACTTTTTTTTTTTAAAAGAAAAAATATATTGAACAAACGTTAGTAAAGCGTGGGAAATCTTTATTGGAACCTGAATGTTTAAATGAGAAATTTGAAAAGAAATCTAGATGTATATGATGATATATCGAATGGAATTAATGCTGCCATTTACCCAACAAAATGGAATAGGCAAGGTATTCAGTCCAACGTCTTAAATCAAATAGATAATGTCAAAAGAGACATAAATCCAAAAATAATTTTATTCTTTGATAAAAGAAGAAAAGAAGAAGAAAAGAAAGAAAGTCAGAAAGAAAAATTAAAAAAGGAAGAAAAAACAAAGATGAAACAAAAATAGAAAACAAGTAAAGTGAACGAAATAAGGAAGAAAGAAAAAAGAAAGAAAGAAGGAATATAGCAAAAAAGAAAAAGAAAGAAATCAAGGAAAACAATGAAAAGAAGAAAAGAAAGTGAATAGAAAGCAAAAAAGAGAGAAAGAAAGCACGGAATGAAACAGAAAAATGAAACTATATAGTAAAATCAATTTCCAATGCATTTTCATAGTAAAAACCCAATTCCAATGCATTTTCATAGTAAAATCACTTTCCAATGCATTTTCATAGTAAAATCACTTTCCAATGCATTTTCATAATAAAATTACTTTCAAATGCATTTTCATAATAAAATTACTTTCCAATGCATTTTCATAATAAAATCACTTTCCAATGCATTTTCATAATAAAATCACTTTCCAATGCATTTTCATAATAAAATCACTTTCCAATACATTTTCATAGTAAAATCACTTTCCAATGCATTTTCATAATAAAATCACTTTCCAATGCATTTACATAATGTCGTAATCTAGAAAGTGTTACTGAATGAGGAAAAACCAAAACGGAAGTTGGAAATGAAATGCTAATCTTTATAACATCAACAAATTACAATACTCACCAGCGGCGTGTAGTAGTGAAACCACTGCTAGTGGTGGACTACTTAGACAGCATATTACCCCCACTTACAATTGTGTCCAACGTATTTATGAGGATTGGGACATACCCATTAGTGTTCAGAGGCACGATATGTAACAGAAACAGAAAAAAGAAACTATGTAAAAAAACACGAAAACAAAGCAATAAATAAAAAATGTAAAGGAAAAAAAAAAAAAAAAAAATACAGAAAACTGAAAACGCGAAAAGAAAAACGAAAAGAAATTAAAAACAAATGAGAAAATAAAAAACAAAGAAAAAAAAGGAAAAACAGAAAGCAAGAAATCAAAGAAGAAAAACCGAAAATAACGAGAAAAATAAAGAGAAAAGAGATAAAAAGAAAGAAAAAAGAGAGAAGGGAACAAAAACAAAAGAAAAAAGAAAGAAGGAAAGCTAGAAAACGAAAAGAAAACAGAAAAAGAAAGAAAGAAAGAAAGCGATAATAATGAAGCAAGAAAGCAAAGAAAGAAGTAAAAGCGAAAAAAAAGGTAAGGAAATAAAAGCATAAAACCGAGAGAAAAGAAATGAAGAAAACGGGAAAGAAAGAAATAAAAAAAATGAAAGACAAAAGAAAAAAAGAAAAAAAAAGGAGAAAAAAAAAGAAAGGAAGAAATCTAAACAAGGAAGCCGCATATTCTGCAACTGATTGAACATTTAAGATACAGCGCTTAGAAATTGGTGGAAAATCTCGTCTGTGTTGTAATGTCTCCAGAGACGACTTCCTTTTATCGGATCCATTACGCTAGTTTAACAGTCTTATAATGTAAAACAGACCAAGGCGTTATGCATAATAAAGTCATCTTCTTTCATGTGCTATGTTATTTTTAGGACGTGAGCGATCAGCAAAACATTGAAGAAATAAAACAAAACAAAAATGAAACAGACATACAAATAAATGATAAAATAAAAAAAACGTCTTACAATCTAATTACTATAACGATACACTAGAATTCTTACATTCAGCTGTTTAAGGTGAATCAAATTATATACCCCAGAAATGTCAATTTGTTCTCATGACGTCCGCTCATCGGCCAGACCTATCAAAATATCTTTCCAAAGTGTCCAATATATTTAGCATTCCATCGAATTCCAAATTTAAGCACACGCAACAATAAACACACACACACACACACACGCACACACACACACACCTATATATATATATATATATTGTCTGTCTATATTTCTGAGGTGTGGTATTTCTGAGATGTGGTATTATGTGCATTATTTACATAATCCGGGCTATTGTCCTCATCTTTGTCGCTATATTTATTACAAAGTTTCGGCCGTTGTACGCTCCGGCCTTCTTCAGGTGGTTCGAATGTCGAACTGAACCCTTTATTTCGCTCACTGGGGTCGGCTGTTCTATTTCCACGTGCCATGCCTAATGGATGTCAGTTATCAGTTATCTCCTGTTAATTCCCTCTGAAAATTCTGCACTGCCTTAATCGGGTATTGAACTAACAGTTTGGGTTCTGTCACTAGGTGGTTCGAATGTCGAACTGAACCCTTTATTTCGCTCACTGGGGTCGGCTGTTCTATTTCCACGTGCCATGCCTAATGGATGTCAGTTATCAGTTATCTCCTGTTAATTCCCCTCTGAAAATTCTGCACTGCCTTAATCGGGTATTGAACTAACAGTTTGGGTTCTGTCACTAGGTGGTTCGAATGTCGAACTGAACCCTTTATTTCGCTCACTGGGGTCGGCTGTTCTATTTCCACGTGCCATGCCTAATGGATGTCAGTTATCAGTTATCTCCTGTTAATTCCCCTCTGAAAATTCTGCACTGCCTTAATCGGGTATTGAACTAACAGTTTGGGTTCTGTCACTAAAGCCTTTATCAACTGTGACACATGACACAGTGGATAAAGGTGTTGGAGTACTTGGAGAGGGGATATATATATATATATATATTATATTGTCATCCACAGACAGACTGTTTCGCTGTCTCACAGCTAGACGCCCAGTTACCTCTAGCTGCGATCGAAACTCGGCTGGATTGGCCTCAGTCGGGCATTCTACCAGTAAGCCGTTGGCGCAAGACGGTGATGAAGGTTAATTTAAACGTATTTATTTTTTAGATAACCACAAACTGACTGAGAAAACTCGATTCGCTTTACCGAAGGGTTTTGCATTATTAGCAATAAAAGTCACTGTTTACAAACTCACACTTTCTCCCCAGAGAGCTCAACCGATATAAATTTTTTTCAGGAGAATAAAATAAACCTAAAGATCCAGAAACTACCACCCTATGTTTCAGCGAAATGGATCTTCAGGGTAAGTATATATGAACGTAAAGGATAGATAAATACATGATACATACATTCAGGGTGGGATGGATAAATTGTCGTCTAAATTACGCAAAAATGAAAATAACACTGACACCTCATTTTAATAGATATAATTACGAAAATTAGATAAAAAATATCTTGTAATGCTAAAGAGCAGATTTATTTCAGAAAATCGCCATTGGCTTCAACCATGACCTCCATATGACTTCGGAATTTCCTGTAACTATTCTAAAACATCTCTTTGTTTATGTTGGTGAATGCAGCTATAATCCTTGCCTTCAGTTCATTTACAAGGAGTTTTGTTGGTCTCTCATTCAACTGTGCCCTACACATTATAATCAAGGGGGTTGCAGTCTGGGGACTTAAGTGGCTAGATGTAAGGGCTGATGTGGTCTAACAGCCATGTCTGGGTTCACCTGCTTGTGTGGCATGGTGTAGAAATCTGTTACCAGATTTAGGACCCTTGAGCAGCCGTCCACTTGATCCAGATCATCACTACGCCCTCAAGCACTGTATGCCGGTCTCCGTGTTGAGTTTGAGGCCATGTTGGAAGATAAATGAAGGGATAACGTCAACATCTCTAGTGATTACCCTAAACACCTTCGTAACAACCATTAGACTCATCCAACTCTTTCCGAATCATCTGCACTGTGTTCAGATTGATAACCAAACAGCCTGAAATGTTCGTAATGGAGCTTCTGATGCAGACGCCACGCAATACAGCATGGTGCTTCTAAATTTCTCACCTACTGACCCTACTACACTGTGCAGTCTACAAAAGTAAATACAAGCAATGTGCATTCGAGAAATTAAATACATAAAATGGCAATAATTTACCCATCGCACCCTGTCCGCACATGAACACTGAGATAGAACAAGGTAGATAGATAGATAGATAGATAGAGAAATAGATAGATAGATCAGACTAAGATCATAGATAGATAGATAGATCAGACTAAGATCATAGATAGATAGATAGATAGATAGATAGATCAGACTAAGATCATAGATAGATAGATAGATAGATCAGACTAAGATCATAGATAGATAGATAGATAGATAGATAGTTAGATAGATCAGACTAAGATCATAGATAGATAGATAGATACATAGATAGATAGATAATAGATCAGACAAGATCATAGAGAGATAGATAGAGATAGATGATAGATCATAGAAGATCATAGATAGATAGATAGATGAGATAGATAGATCAAACTAAGATCATAGATAGATAGATAGATATAGATCAGACTAAGATCATAGATAGATAGATATATAGATAGATAGATCAGACTAAGATCATGAATAGATAGATAGATATAGATAGATAGATGAATAGATAGATAGATCAGACTAAGATCATAGATAGATAGATAGATATAGATAATGAATGATAGATAGATGAATGAATAATAGATATAGATAGATAGATAGATAGATCAGACTAAGATCATAGATAGATGAATAGATATGAATAGATAGATCAGACTAGATAAGATAGATAGATAGATAGATCAGACTAAGATCATGGATAGATAGATAGATAGATGATAGATAAATAGATAGATGAATGATAGATAGATAGATAGATCAGACTAAGATCATAGATAGATAGATAGATAGATAGATAGATAGATAGATCAGACTAAGATCATAGATAGATAGATAGATCAGACTAAGATCATAGATAGATAGATAGATAGATAGATCAGACTAAGATCATAGATAGATAGATAGATAGATAGATAGATCTCAGACTAAGATCATGGAGATAGATAGATAGATAGATAGATAGATCAGACTAAGATCATGGATAGATAGATAGATAGATAGATCAGACTAAGATCATAGATAGATAGATAGATAGATAGATAGATAGATAGATGATAGATAGATAGATAGATCAGACTAAGATCATAGATAGATAGATAGATAGATAGATAGATAGATAGATAGATAGATAGATAGATAGATCAGACTAAGATCATGGATCGATAGATAGATAGATAGATAGATAGATAGATAGATAGATCAGACTAAGATCATAGATAGATAGATAGATAGATAGATAGATAGATAGATAGATAGATAGATAGATCAGACTAAGATCATGGATAGATAGATAGATAGATAGATAGATAGATCAGACTAAGATCATAGATAGAATAGATAGATAGATAGATCAGACTAAGATCATAGATAGATAGATGATAGATCATAGACTAAGATCATAGATAGATGAATGAATAGATCAGACTAAGATCATAGATAGATAGATGAGATAGATAGATAGATGAATAGATAGATAGATCAGACTAAGATCATAGATAGATAGATAGATAGATCAGATAGATAGATAGATAGATAAATAGATCATAGATAGATAATGAATAGATAGATAGATAGATGATAGATAGATAGATAGATCATGACTAAAGATACTAATAGATAGATGATCATGATAAGATCATAGATAGATAGATAGATAGATAGATGATAGATAGAGATAGATAGATAGATAGATGAATAGATAGATCAGACTAAGATGGATAGATAGATAGATAGATAGAATAGATAGATCATAGATCAGATCATAGATAGATAGATAGATAGATCAGACTAAGATCATAGATAGATAGATAGATAGATGAGATAGAATGATAGATAAGATCATAGATAGAGATAGATAGATAGATAGATGATAGATAGATAGATAGATAGATAGATAGATCAGACTAAGATCATAGATAGATAGATAGATAGATAGATAGATAGATAGATAGAGCATAGATAGATAGATAGATAGATCAGACTAAGATCATAGATAGATAGATAGATAGATAGATAGATAAATCCCTTTAGATAGATATAGATAGATAGATAGAAAGATCAGACTCCCAATGCATTTTCATAAAAAAAATCCCTTTCCAATGCATTTTCATAGTAAAATCACTTTCCAATGCATTTTCATAATAATAATTTCATAATAAAATCAATTCCAGATTTTCATAATTCAGATAGATAAAATCCCTTTCAATGCATTTTTAGATAATAAATCCATTCCAATAAAAATCCTTTTAAAATGCATTTTCATAATAAAATCCCTTCCAATGCATTTTCATAATAAAATCAATTTCCAATGCATTTTCATAATAAAATCCCTTTCCAATGCATTTTCATAATAAAATCCCTTTCAATGCATTTTCATAATAAAATCCCTTTCCAATGCATTTTCATAATAAAATCCATTTCAATGCATTTTCATAATAAAATCCCTTTTCAATGCATTTTCATAATAAAATCCATTTCAATGCATTTTTCATAATAAAATCCTTTCAATAAATTTTCATAATAAAATCCTTTTCCAATGCATTTTCATAATAAAATCCCTTTCCAATGCATTTTCATAATAAAATCCCTTTCAATGCATTTTCATAATAAAATCACTTTCCAATGCATTTTCATAATAAAATCACTTTCCAATGCATTTTCATAGTAAAATCACTTTCCAATGCATTTTCATAATAAAATCCTTTCCAATGCATTTTCATAATAAAATCACTTTCAATGCATTTTCATAATAAAATCCCTTTCAATGCATTTTCATAATAAAATCCTTTTCCAATGCATTTTCATAATAAAATCCCTTTCCAATGCATTTTCATAATAAAATCCCTTTCCAATGCATTTTTCATAATAAAATCCTTTTCAATGCATTTTCATAATAAAATCACTTTCCAATTTTCATTTTTTCAATGCATTTTAAAAATCACTTTCCAATGCATTTTCATAATAAAATCACTTTCCATGCATTTTCATAATAAAATCAAATGCATTTTCATAATAAAATCACTTTCCAATGCATTTTCATAATAAAATCCCTTTCCAATGCATTTTCATAATAAAATCCCTTTCCAATGCATTTTCATAATAAAATCACTTTCCAATGCATTTTCATAATAAAATCACTTTCCAATGCATTTTCATAATAAAATCACTTTCCAATGCATTTTCATAATAAAATCCCTTTCCACTGCATTTTCATAATAAAATCCCTTTCCAATGCATTTTCATAATAAAATCACTTTCCAATGCATTTTCATAATAAAATCACTTTCCAATGCATTTTCATAATAAAATCCCTTTCCAATGCATTTTCATAATAAAATCCTTTCCAATGCATTTTCATAATAAAATCCCTTTCAATGCATTTTCATAATAAAATCACTTTCAATGCATTTTCATAATAAAATCCCTTTCCAATGCATTTTCATAATAAAATCCCTTTCCAATGCATTTTCATAATAAAATCACTTTCCAATTTCAAAATTTTCAATAATAAAATCACTTTTTCAAATAAATTTTCATAATAAAAAATCACTTTCCAATGCATTTTCATAATAAAATCCCTTTCCAATGCATTTTCATAATAAAATCACTTTCCAATGCATTTTCATAATAAAATCACTTTCCAATGCATTTTCATAATAAAATCACTTTCCAATGCATTTTCATAATAAAATCACTTTCCATTGCATTTTCATAATAAAATCACTTTCCACTGCATTTTCATAATAAAAATCCCTTTCAATGCATTTTCATAATAAAATCCCTTTCCAATGCATTTTCATAATAAAATCACTTTCCAATGCATTTTCATAATAAAATCCCTTTCCACTGCATTTTCATAATAAAATCACTTTCCAATGCATTTTCATAATAAAATCACTTTCCAATGCATTTTCATAATAAAATCCCTTTCCAATGCATTTTCATAATAAAATCACTTTCCAATGCATTTTCATAATAAAATCACTTTCCAATGCATTTTCATAATAAAATCCTTTTCAATGCATTTTCATAAAATCCCTTCAATAAAATAATACAATCTTTCCAATGCATTTTTCATAATAAAATCCCTTTCCAATGCATTTTCATAATAAAATCACTTTCAATGCATTTTCATAAAAATCCTTTTCAATGCATTTTCATAATAAAATCCCTTTCCAATGCATTTTCATAATAAAATCACTTTCCAATGCATTTTCATAAAAAATCCCTTTCCAATGCATTTTCATAATAAAATCCTTTTCCAATGCATTTTCATAATAAAATCCCTTTCCAATGCATTTTCATAATAAAATCACTTTCCAATGCATTTTCATAATAAAATCCTTTCCAATGCATTTTCATAATAAAATCCCTTTCCAATGCATTTTCATAATAAAATCCCTTTCCAATGCATTTTCATAATAAAATCCTTTCCAATGCATTTTCATAATAAAATCCTTTTCAATGCATTTTCATAATAAAATCCCTTTCCAAATTTTCATAATCCCTTTCCAATGCATTTTTCATAATAAAATCCCTTCAATGCATTTTCATAATAAAATCCTTTCCAATGCATTTTCATAATAAAATCCTTTCCAATGCATTTTCATAATAAAATCCTTTCTTTTCATAATAAAATCCTTTCAATGCATTTTCATAATAAAATCCCTTTCCAATGCATTTTCATAATAAAATCCCTTTCCAATGCATTTTCATAATAAAATCCCTTTCCAATGCATTTTCATAATAAAATCCTTTCCAATGCATTTTCATAATAAAATCCTTTCAATGCATTTTCATAATAAAATCAAAAGAATGCATTTTCATAATAAAATCCCTTTCCAATGCATTTTCATAATAAAATCCCTTTCAATGCATTTTCATAATAAAATCCCTTTCAATGCATTTTCATAATAAAATTTTCAATGCATTTTCATAATAAAATCCTTTCCAATGCATTTTCATAATAAAATCACTTTCCAATGCATTTTCATAATAAAATCCTTTCCAATGCATTTTCATAATAAAAAAATTTCAATGCATTTTCATAATAAAATCCTTTCCAATGCATTTTCATAATAAAATCCCTTTCAATGCATTTTCATAATAAAATCATTTTGCATTTTCATAATAAAATCCTTTCCAATGCATTTTCATAATAAAATCCCTTTCCAATGCATTTTCATAATAAAATCCTTTTCAATGCATTTTCATAATAAAATCACTTTCCATGCATTTTCATAATAAAATCACTTTCAATGCATTTTCATAATAAAATCCCTTTCCAATGCATTTTCATAATAAAATCCCTTTCCAATGCATTTTCATAATAAAATTTCAATGCATTTTCCAATGCATTTTCTCATATAATAAAATCACTTTCCAATGCATTTTCATAATAAAATCCCTTTCCAATGCATTTTCATAATAAAATCCCTTTCCCATGCATTTTCATAATAAAATCCCTTTCCAATGCATTTTCATAGTAAAATCCCTTTCCAATGCATTTTCATAGTAAAATCCTTTCCAATGCATTTTCATAATAAAATCACTTTCCAATGCATTTTCATAATAAAATCACTTTCCAATGCATTTTCATAATAAAATCCCTTTCCAATGCATTTTCATAATAAAATCCCTTTCCAATGCATTTTCATAATAAAATCCCTTTCCAATGCATTTTCATAATAAAATCCCTTTCCAATGCATTTTCATAATAAAATCACTTTCCAATGCATTTTCATAATAAAATCCCTTTCCAATGCATTTTCATAATAAAATCACTTTCCAATGCATTTTCATAATAAAATCCCTTTCCAATGCATTTTCATAAAAAAATCATTTTCAATAATTTCCAAATCTTTCCATTTTTTCATAATAAAATCACTTTCCAATGCATTTTCATAATAAAATCCTTTTCCAATGCATTTTCATAATAAAATCCCTTTCCAATGCATTTTTCATAATAAAATCCCTTTCCAATGCATTTTCATAATAAAATCACTTTCCAATGCATTTTCATAATAAAATCCCTTTCCAATGCATTTTCATAATAAAATCCCTTCCAATGCATTTTCATAATAAAATCCCTTTCAATGCATTTTCATAATAAAATCCCTTTCCAATAAATTTTCATAGTAAAAATCCCTTTCAATGCATTTTCATAATAAAATCCCTTTCCAATGCATTTTCATAATAAAATCCTTTCAATGCATTTTCAGTAAAAATCCCTTTCCATGCATTTTCATAATAAAATCCTTTCCAATGCATTTTCATAATAAAAAAATGCATTTTCCAATGCATTTTTTCATAATAAAATCCCTTTCCAATGCATTTTCATAATAAAAAATCCTTTCAATGCATTTT